GAAAACGTGAAGGGCACACTTGGTCATTTTAGGTGGTCCACCATTGGGCCAACTACGAAAAGAATTTTTCATCTGGTTTATGTCCAAAACTGTTTTGTGAAACTTGGATGAATTTTATCTCTCAGCGTCAGTGAAAGGCCCCTGGTTTTGTTCTTTCCTTCTGTCCTGCAGAAGACTCTGCTTCTCCTGTAAACTCTCCAGTGTGTGCCTGAAAAAGATTAAGATGGTCTGCTGGGCGGGAGACTTTTCATCAGAATTTATTACTGTTCAAAGCTGCTATAAAGGCTTTCATTTAACCCTGGCCTTTGTATTTCCACCCATGAAAATTGTTCATACCATGACCAATCTGACACATTGTCAGGGTTCTTCATGGAATATTCCAAACAAGACCACAGTGAACCAACTCCTCAGTGGGAGGAAAAGGGGAAGATAGTGGGGCAGTCCAAAAACTAAAGTTTGCTTTAATACTTTGTGGCATTTTCCATCCAGGTCACAGCTCCCTTAGGCAAGGACTGATGGAAACTCTGTTTTGACAGTTAAAAGAATACCTTGGATAGATGCTCCCCCACCATGTGGATTCTTACAATGAAACAAATTTTCAATTAGACCCAAGGAAAAGAGTGGCTCTAAAATGTAGTCTTTTGTTTCCATTGAAAACCCAACACCTGCCAAATACAAGAGCCAATCTAATTTGTTGTATTTGTATTTTTCTTTCATTAAGTAAAAATCTTTCTTAGCATCCATCAGAGCCGTGTTCTAAGAAAAAAGAATTGTATACACTCATACCCTTTTTATAATTCTTTGATTTAAAACATTTCTATATGCTTTAAAACACACACACCTCCTCACAATTACAGTCAATAGTATTCAAATAATCTCCAAATACGGAAAGAAAGAAGGCAGGAAGAAAAAAAAAATGTTCTTGAAAACGGCTAACAAATCTAAAGAGGAACTGCCTGTATGTTAGTCTTAAAACATAATTTCTTTGAGTTAATGTTATATGAACAAAAGATTAAAGATTAGAATCTATAACTGAGTACTATGTACACGGACACTTGGAATATGTAGTCAATTTCTGTAAATAGACTGAGGCCATGATTCTAATGCCTTAAATGCTAACAATACAACCTTGAAAAAAAAAATCTGCATTTTAAAAGCATGCACTGTAAATCACACAGGAAAGGGGGTAATGAGAATAGGAACTGGAACGTGGGCCCAGGGAGAGCAGAGGAGTTATTTTTTTCAGGTTGTGCAAATATCAGCCCTAACTGGAGGGTCTGGAGAATGTGCCCTTCTAGTTTGCAGCTTGGGCCCTGACCCCATGTTTACAAGATACTTTGGGGATCACTTTTGCCATTACCTCAGTTGCCCTGGGAGGTGGTTAGTGATTTAAATTACGTTCCTTCTGATAAAGGGCCTTGGCAGCTTTTAGTGATTCACTGTGTAAAAAATCTTCCTTGGACCTCACCACTTCCAATCAACTTGCTAACTCTTACCCATTAAAAATAATAATAATAACAATAATCAGTCTGAGCTACCACAGTAGTCCCCTTCTCTTTATAACAGCACGTGGGCCCCTGCATCTAGTGAGTCTATGTGATCCACTGGGCCTGGGCTGGGTCTTTTTTTTTTTTTTTTTTTAATATTTTTTAATTCAGTGCCTAGCAGAGTGTCTGGCACCAAACAGCTTGAGAGGAATGCAAACATTTCCAGCTTTTGCTATGAATTGCCAAACCACTTTCTGGCAAGATAATCAAGAGTAGCAACAAGACTTAGTATTACTTAAAACAAAAACAAAAACAAAACCCAACCAACCCACCAAACAAAAAACACTGAAAACTTGCTCATATGATAGAGGTAGAAGAAAAATAATATCTCATTATTTCCATATGCTAGGATTGCATTCTTTTTAACATATTTATTGGCAATTTAGTCCTATATTTTGTGTGAATTTCATGTCCTTCTCCTTGGTCCTTTTATTTTTTGGGTTGTCTATTTCTTTCTTTTTGATTCATAAGAGGTCTTACCACATTAAGAGTTTTAAACTGCTTACAACACAAAATACTGCAAATGTATTTTCCACTTTGTCTATAGTTGTTTTTTTTTGCTACATGTCTTTCAGACACTTGTTCACTCGAGACAGATTGAAGGATGACTTGTACCATGCCTCGTGCTTCATGAAAAACAGTCAGTGTGGCTGCGCCTCAGCCTTAATGAGTTGGATGAATCTAATCCTAGTGGTACCTGTAAGTCAGCAGTGACAGAATCATAGAACTCAAAATCTCAAAGTGAACATTTGTATTATTTTCCTATTCTTCATGTTTTGCAATATACTTTGCATTTACAAAAATACTTTAGTTAAGTGGAACTCATTGGTGGAAATACTAAAAAAATTATGGCTTATTGCCTTTCTTTTCCCTGGCATTATTAGCACCAGTTTACAAAAACAAACATACCTTGGTTTTAGGAAGCAAATTTCTCCATATTCAACATTTTAGGTCCTTTCTTATTCGATAATATCAGAAATTATGTGACATCTATAATGAAAATGTATTTTTCCTGATCCAGCATCCTGATCAGTTGCCATGTCAAATATCTTAGGTGTCTAGAACAATCTGACAACCTTCTGAATGTTATTTAGTTTGACCGACTTACATTAGTAGTCTTGAAAGTCAAACATTGTTAACAGTTCTGCCGAAGCCTCCTTCACAGAATTCTAGGCAGAGAATGATGCTTTCCTCTGGGTTATTTCTCAAACAGAAAGGAAAGTGTGTATACCTATGACTTAATACTATAATCTATAACTTTTAGTATCATTTTATAGGTTAACTCTAGGGCCATTTCACTGTTGATGCTGATCATGAATTCAGCCTTATTCCTGTCAAATGAGACTTTTCTTTTTTTTTTTTTAAAGATTTATTTATTTATTTATTTGAGAGAGAGAGAGAGCATGAGAGGGGGGGAGGGGCAGAGAGAGAAGCAAACTCCCAGCTGAGCAGGGGCTCCTGCTGTGGAGATGGATCCCAGGACCCTGGGATCATGACCTGAGCCAAAGGCAGCCCCTTAACTGACTGAGCCACCCAGGCACCCCCTTTAATGTAATAATTTTTGACAAATTTTGGACCTTCAACATTGTTGTTCATGAATCTTAGCATATACTCAACTCATACATTAAAATTAGAGGGATAAAAAGGTGTGGTGCTGGCTTCCTCTCAATTGCTAATACTTTATGAGATACAAAATATTTCTTTCTAGTGTTCCCCTTAAGTTCTATTTAGGTTCTCTTAGCTCTATTATATTTGTAGAAGAAAGAACACATTTCTTTATTTTTCTAAGTCAGATTGAATCTGGAATGGTATCCTTTCAAGGATCAGAAGAAAATCCACTCGCAGATATTTGAGTGGGTGCCTCTGAAGTATCTTGGCCAGAAAACTAAGATGTCACATTATCTAGAGAAATGGGAAAAGCTCTTGTCAAGATGCTGGAACTGACTGTATGAATGCTCCTTGCAATTGGCTGGCATGGCCCAGCAAACTCACGTGGCCTCTTGCCTCAAAGTCAAGCTCAGGCCTTAAGATTCATAAGTTGAACATCTGGGGATGAGCTTTGTTCATCACAGCAAGGCCTAGGGATGTGATGTCCCTTCATGCGAGGCAGCACAACATGGAAGTGGTGGGTTGAGGGGGCAAGAGAAATTGTATATGGGATAAAGAAGTGAAAGTAAGAATGCCACTATCCCTTTTGTGAAGCCCAGGGTGGGGCTGAATGGTTGGCAAGGCCTAGGAAAGCAGTTCGGATTTTAAGTGTCTGGGAAGACATTAGAAAGTTTAAAGCCAAGAAATACGATCTGATTTGTGTTTTAAAAGACCCCTTCTAGAGCATATCTTACAGAATTAAAAATATGAATCTATAAATATATTTGCACAAGGATGATCACTGTGACATGGTTATTAATAGCAAAAAAAAAAAAAACAAAAGAAAAAAGAAAGCAATCTAATTGTTTATCAATAATGGTTAATGAATTATAACATATTCATATCATGGAATACTATATAATTACTAAAAATAACAAAGTAAGACTCTGTACCCCATCTGGAAAGGGTTTAATTATGTATTACAGAAGAAAGAAAAGCAAGTTGCAGCCCCATGTGTATAGTGTTATTTTATTTTGTTACAGGAACATATACTTGCATCATTGAATAAATTTAGAGAAATGGGGGAACATGCACACTGAGTTATCATGGTTCTCTCTAGCTAATGCATACTTACAGATAATGACACAAAGTTGGCTAATAGAGAAATTTCACTCAAATTTAAAGATACTTCATGATTTCTCCAAGTATTTCAATTCCCAAATTCTTATTTTTAATCACCTAAGGTGAAAAAAAGAAAAAAAATTTAAAAAAGCCTCTTGCCATTACACATATTTAGAACTTATTCTGAGATATTGGTCCTAATTCTCATCCAAGTACCTAATTACTAGGTAATTCCTTAGAGTAGATTCAAGGTATATTAGGACATACCTTCCTGAAGCATTAGTTAGCAGCTACATTTTGCAAGTCAATGTCTCTAAAACTAGTATCTGCCTTGAGGAGGGAGCCGGTTTCTGGTGTGATTACTGTTTTTCTTTGTTTTATTTCACTTGCAAAATAATTGAGAAAGACAGGATTTTCTCCAGTGTTCATTGATAGGTTATCAGCTATGACAGAGATTTACTGAAGACCAAAGGCGGCAATTTCCATATACCTTCTAGCTTATGGACTGTGATGGGCATGTGGGTTTTGGCTGCTCAGCATCTAATTCTCCCCGGTTAGGAGGATCCTTCATTTTGTGAATCTTGGTGGGAGGTAAAGTCCTTAACCCTCTTTGCTGAGAAACAGACTCTGCACCATCCTGCGTGAGAACGCGGGTCAGCAACTCCAACAGAAGAGCTGTTCGACCACAGGAGATGATGAAATTCTCCTTCTCAGCTTCCTCCTCCCTAACCCGGAGGTACCCCCAGCTCCTTCCGTATAGAGTTGGTGTGAGGCTTAACTGGGTCAATAATGAACTGTGTGACCCCAGAGTAAGTGCTACACTACAAAATCAATGCAGCACGAGGAGTGATGCCGAGGAGTCTACGCGCTGCTGTGGCGTCAGGGTGAACCGAGGTGCAGGTAAGTGCCTCCACTGCATTCCCACAGAAGCCCCAGGCAGCGCACTTGGTTGGGGTGATTGTTTTATTAGTTGGCTTTCAGACTTAAAAATCGATTTTAATTTAATTAAATCTATACACGCACATGGTTTAAATAATCCCGTTGTTCTACATGTTCTGCATTTCGTAATAATAAAAAAACACACAGTATTCTGCCCACATTGGCTCCTCATTTTCCACTCCCCCATGGCAACCCCTTTCAAGTCTTTTGTTAAATAACATGCTTAGATCGCTAGTTCTTGAAGTTTCAATTGAAAGTATTGCCACGATGGAAAATGAGGATTTAGCGCTTTTTTTTTTTTTTTAAACCAGCTCTTCTCCTCACCACAACTCCCACATCTTCCTGTCCTTCAAATGTAGTTATGCTTTGGTTTAGATCAATGTTATGTGTTTGCATTATTATGACCATGTAAATATTTTCAGAGCTGAGCAAGGGTATGTTCTGTGACTACTTCCTCTTCTCTTCCTCCTCCTTCTTTTTCTTGAAAACCTTTTTATCCTGGAGTTAATAAATGTCTTGGTTTTTTATTTGCTTGGTTTTCTGTATTCTTATTATTAACTCATCTTCAAATTCTTCCCAGTTTTCTAAACCTTCTCTAAATATGTTCAAAAATTATAATTCAATCAGCTTTTTTTTTTTTTTTAAGATTTTGTTCATATTTGAGAGAGAGAGAGAAAGAACAAGCGGTGGGAAGGGGCAGAGGGAGAGAGAGGGAGAAGCAGACTCCCCGCTGAGCAGGAAGCCTGATGTGGGGCCCGATCCCAGGACCTGAGACCATGACCTGAGCCGAACGCAAACGCTTAACCCACTGAGCCACCCAGGTGCCACTCACCTTCCTTTTTTTGACCTGGTCTAATCAGAGTATGTTGGCCTATTCCTGTACAGCTCTCATACAGGGCTATCCTTCATTATCATCATTCCGGAGATTCACTTTCACCTTTTCTTAAGTTTGATCCCCTGTTTCCCAGATTTCTTATCTTCTTTCTTATGCCCTCATTGTGGTAGCACCTTTCCGTGTAGCTTCTTCACCCAGTAGCTTCCTGAGAAAAGGTGCACGAAAAGAAGTCTGAAATACTGTGTATCTGTACCTCAATTAAAATCTATAGTTTGGCAATATGTAGAATAATTTCTTGCATACTTTTGAAACATTGCTCCTTTGACTTTTTGCTTCCTGTGTTGCTTTGAAAAATGTTGAGTATGTCTGATTTCTGATATTTTTTATGTGACCTGTTCCATCCCCCCTGCCCTAACCCCCAGTATGGAAACTTATAAGATACTCCCTTTATGCTTGGTATTCTAAAAGTATTTTGATGTAAGTCTATTTTTATCCATTTACTGAGTATGCACTGGTCTCCTTGAATTGGGAATCTACTGTCTTTCAGTTCTGGGAAATTTTCTTGAATTATTTCCTTGACGACTTACCCTTCTTGATTTTCTCTGTTCTTTCTGAAACTTGGATTGTTCAGTTCCTGAAACTCTGGACCCATTTCTTAATTTTGTTACTTCTCTATTCCAGTAACCTACTTCAGGTTATGCTTGTATATTTTCAAGTATAATCTACATACAATAAATTTCATCTTTTTAAAATATATAGAGTTACAAGAATTTTGACAAATGTATACAGTCAGGTAACCACCACCCAACATAAGATAGAATTGTTTTGTGCCTGCCTTTTCTCTTAATGTAACACATATATCAGTAGTTCATTCTTTTTTATTGCTAAGCAGTGTTCTTCCACTGTATAGATATACCACATTTTATCAGGTGATAGATAGTTCAGTTATTCCCATTTTTAGCTAGTTGGCATGCAGGCTTTTCAATGAAGACATATTTTCATTTCTTTTCAGTAAATTCTGAAGAGTGGAAATGGTGGGTCATATGGTAAGGATATATTTATCCTCCAAACCATTTCCCAAAGTGAGATTCCAAAGGGGGGAATCCAAATTTTGCATTCCCATTAACATGAGAAATCCAGTTTCTCCTTATCCTCGCAACTCTTGCATTGTAATTCTTTTCAATTTTTAGCCATTCCAAAGGGTGTATATGAAATCTCACTTAAAAAAATTTGTTTTTCTGATGACAAGTAATATTGAGCATCTTTTCATCATAATTTTTATGTTTCTTTTTGTGAACTGTCTGTTCAAGTATTTTGCAGTCCCCTTTCTTGGATTATTTGTCTTGTTATTGAATTGTAAAGAGCTCTTTATATATTTAGATACAAGCCTTACACCAGATATGAATTTGTAAATATTTTTCTCTCAGATCGTGGCTTGTTTTGTAATTTTCTTAACAGTGTCCTTTAAAAAGCAGAAGTTTTAAATTTTTATAAAGTTCATTTATAAATGTTTTCTCTTATGATTTGTGTTTTTCTTTGATGTCCAATCTAAGAAAATTTTACCAAACCTGAATTCATATAGATATTCTTCTAAGTTTTGTCCTAGAAGTTTCCTAGTTTTAGCCATTATGCTTGCTTTATGATCCTGTCAAGTTAATTTTTGTATAGAACATGAGGTAATGGTTGAGGTTCATTTTTTTGGCATATGAATATTCAAGTGTTTCAGAACTATTTGTTAAGAAGACTTTCTTCTCCTCACTGAATTACCTTGATACCATTGTCAAGTATCATTTGCCATATATACATAGGTCTGTTTTGTTTTGTTTTTTAACCTTCGTGTCTATTCTTATGTAATACCACACTATCTTGATTGAGGTAGCTTTATAGAAAATCTTGAAATCAGGTAAGGTGAGTGCTTCAAATTTTTTCCTACATTTTCAAATTTGTTTTGGGTCTTCTCAACACTTGCATTTTCATAAGAATTTCAGATTCAATTTACTGATTTCTACAAAAATAGCAGGTACTATTTGGATTGGGATGGTATACAATCTATGGATTAACATGGAGAAATTGACATCTTAGCAATATTGAGGCTTCTGATCTATTTGCATGATATATCTCCTTATCTATTTAGGTCTTTTAAAAATTCTCTCAGCAATATTTTAGTTCATAGGTCTTCACATATTTTGTTAAATGGATAACTATGTACTTAATGTTTTTATAATTTTTAAAATTTCACTTTCCAACTGTACATTGCTATGAACATTCACGTATCAGTTGTGTGGAAACACATACGGAAATGAGTTTTTTTCCTCATGGGAAATATCTAAGGGGAGTTTGTTGGAACAGATGGCAGATGCATGTTTAACCTTCTAAGAATTTTATGTGTTGACTTTTTTTTATCCCACTTCTATAAATCCAAGAAGTATTTTTTCTAAATTTCATAGGATTTTCTACACAGACAGTCATGTCATTGGCAACTAAAGATAGTTTTTCTTCTTCCTTTCTAATTTTTATGCCTTTTCTTCCTCTTGTTTTACTGTACAATGTTGAATAGAAGTGGTAAGAATGGAAATTCTGTTTCCATGTCTAGTTCCCAATCTTGGGGGAAAGCATCCAATTTTTAAAACAAATTCAGTTTTTTAATAGATACACAGGTAATCTATTTTTTCTTAAGTGAGCTTTGATAGTTTACAATTTTCAAAAAATTTGTCTGTTTAATTTACATTGTTAAAATTATTGTCAATAAATTATTTATAATATTCTTTTTAAACTTCTGTAGAATCTGTAGAGATATTCCATCTCTCATTCTTGATATTGATAAATTATATCTTCTCTGTGTTTTTCCTGATCAGTCTGGCTGGAAGTTTATCGATTTTACTGAACTTTTCAAAGAATCTGCTTTTTTTGGTTCTATTGATCTTTTCTATTATTTGTCCATTTTCTATTTCATCTTATCTCTATTATTTCTTTCCACCTATTTACTTTCTTTTAAGTTGGCTCTTCTTTTTCTAGTTTCTTAAGATGGAAATGATTTTAGGCCTTTCTTCTTTTCTGATATAGACGTTAAAACTATACATTTCCCTCTAGTGTAATGGCTGCTTTATTGACATTCCACAATACATTCTGTTTTTATTTACATCCAGTTCAAAATATGATCTAATTTCTCTTGTTATTTCTTCTTCAATCAAAAGCTATTTTGAAGCTTAACTTCTGAATATTTGGGGATTTTTCAGATTTAAAAAATTTAGTTGAAGTGCAGTTGACATTTTATATTAGTTGCAGGTGTACAACTAGTGATCTGAGAATTATGTACATTATGAAATGCTCACCACAATAATGGTGGTTACCATCTGTCCCCATACAAAGTAATTACGGTATTGTTGGCTATGCCTACGCTGTACTTTTCATCCCTCTGACTTGTTTATTCTATAACTGGGTTTGTACCTCTTAATCCCCTTCAACCTATTTTGTTTATTCCTTTCAGATTTTTAAAAATTATTGATTTCTAATTTAATTCCATTGACATCAGAGAATGTACTTTGTATAATTTTATTTAAAAAATATTTTATGATTTGTTTCATTGAACAAAATATGGTCTATCTTCATGAATAGGTCATTTGCATTTAAAAAAAAATGTGTGTTCTATATAGACTTTGGTTGGAGTGTTCTACAATTATTAGATCAAATTGCTTAATAGTGTTGTTAAAATCTTTTATATCCTTATTCATATTTTTGTCTATTTCTTTTATCAGTTACTAAGAAAAAAGTGTTGAAATGTCCAGATGTAATTGTGCATTTGTTTATTTAGCTTTTGAGTTCTACCAAATTTTTTTCTTCATACATTTTTTAAAGATTTTATTTATTTATGAGAGAGAGAGCACTAGTGAGGGGAGGGGCAGAGGGACAAGCAGACTCCCCGCTGAGCAGGGTGCCCTATGTGGGGTTCCATCCCAGGACCCTGAGATCATGACCTGAGCCAAAGGCAGACGCTTAACCAACCAACTGAGCCACCCAGGCATCCCTCTTCATGCATTTTGAAGCCCCGTTAATAGGCACATACATATTTAGGATTATGTCTTCTTGATAAGTTGACCTGAATGTGCCTTTTGCCTGGTAATGTTCC